ATATTCTATTATTTACAGTTTATTACTTCTTTAATCTATGGAACGAGATTGAAGTTTATGTTAGGAACATGTTGTGACTCGATATGAGAATACTAAATGTATGAATAAGTGTAAAAATCTGCAAAGTAAGCAGGTTAACAGGAACTTACATGTGGGTACACAAGTGTTGTCATTTTTTATAGATGCATATGTATTTACATGTATATATTCTCTTAGGACGAATAGCTCTTTAGGTATAAATTGACAGAAAACATAGATTTAATTGATAGTATTAAGTGATTTGGAATTTAAAAAAAGTGTTGATATTTATTTGATTACTGAGTAATTTTGACATTTATTGTGCACCCTAACCTCAAGCGCAATGGCTGTGCAGAGTATTTACATAAGAGTTCGAGAGAATATAGGTAGTTTTATTTTACTATGTAGTTCAATTTTGTTGAGCAAGATTAAATCTATTAGTAAGAAAGATTATCTAAAGTATTAATAATGTATGTTTATTCCCATTTATTGTAATTTTGTTTTGAGGAAAACCATATCTAGTCATAAATCTTGATTGCATTATGTCCTAATAAGTCAATATATCTTGTCCGCTTAAAGTATTAAAATTAGGTTATTTTATTATGTAATTCAATTTTTTTGTTGAGCACCATTTAACCTATTAGTAAGAAAGAATAGGTACAGCATTGATAATTTACGTTTTTGCATATTTATTATAATTTTTTATAAGGAAAACCATATATAGTCATAAATAATGATTGCATTGTGTCGCAATAAGTCAATATGTTTTATCTTGTTAAAGTATTACCTGAAGAACTATAGGGAGAAGATGATACATATGTGGCAATGGCAGAATTTTAAAACTTCGTCAGACATAATCTTTTTTGTAATCATGCCACCTTAATGGTAAGCTAGACGTACTCAGGCTATGAATAAAGTCTTCTAATACACCAGGTAATATTAAAATTTAGATCAGTAACTTAAGAACACAAAATGTAATACACCAGGCAATATTAACATTTAGATCAGTAACATAAGAACACAAAATGTAATACACCAGGCAATATTAACATTTAGATCAGTAACATAAGAACACAAAATGTAATACACCAGGCAATATTAACATTTAGATCAGTAACATAAGAACACAAAATGTAATACACCAGCTTGTTTTACTTATCAAATATTAACATTTAGACATGACTAGAATTAACATAAGAACACAAAATGTAATACACCAGGCATTAAATATTAACATTTATATAAGTAACATAAGAACACAAAATGTAATACACCATTGCAATATTTTTTTTAAAATTTTTTACAATACATTTAAATAAAAGCCTTGCAACAAATATCTAATACACCAGGCAATATTAACATTTATATTGATGAAAATGCAAGAACACAAAATGTAATACACCATTTTTGGCAATATTAACATTTATATCAGTAACATTCCCAAATGTAAATATACAAACCTGTATATTGTAATACACAAAAAAAAGTTTTTTTCATCAATTAAAAAAATAGATTTAACATTTATATCAGTAACATAAGAACACAAAATGCCTTTATTTCCTTAATACACGAGCTTGTTTTTCTTATCAATTGACTAGAACTAATACACTTTAGATATGACATGACTAGAATTCAGTAAAATTATAGCCATTTTTCAGTTGAACAGCGTTGGCCACAGTTTGTAAAATTGATACGCTTTTTAAAAAAAAATCCTTGGGAGGAGGGGGCTGGGGGCATTAAATATTTATAAGAAGATTTATAATTAAGCATATTTTTGAAAGATATAAAAAAAAATAAATGCGAATATTTTTATTTTTATACATCCAGCATTGAAACTGTACCTTTTTTTTCCTTCTTAATCCTCTTATTAATTTTGTCTACAATACATTATAATTTAAAAGTCTTGCAACATGTATCTACTTCTAGCTACAGAAACCGTAGCGTTATGTTTTATATTTTATTATTGATGAAAACGCAACCGATCTTCTTCCATAAAAAGCGTAAGTATTGAGTAGTTAACGATCATAATGTATTACTGCTACAATAATTATTTTGGGGAAAAGCTTATGTTTTGTCTAGAACAACAGGAAGCAAAGAAGACAATACACACAGCATTAAACTATTAATTACCTTTCATGGAAATATAACTAACACGCAAATGAATCATCAATAAGATATATTAGATTTTTTTCCCGAACATGACAACCTGTATTTGGCATGTTTACTCCTCTCCAACCCCTTTATAGGCTTCATTTTGTATTATCTACCCCCTACTGTATTGCAAATTATACTGAAGTATGTTTTTTTTTTGCGGTTAAATCTTTAAAAAAACGATTGGACCTTCAAATGAAGCCTTTTCATGGCACAGAATTTTTAAATTTTTAAATATTATTTTGTCTTGTTTACTGGTGATTTAGATATAACATACTGGAGGATTGAACCAAAGCGTCCGAATAAATGAGGCTCCACTGTACTCAAACTAATTATAGTAAAAAAAATTATAAGGACAGAGAAAAGATATAATGCAGGAATACCTAGAAAAAAATCAAAATTTTCTTTTTAAATCATTGATAAAAAAAAAACATTAAAAAAGTAAGATATATTCAAATATTTCTCATTGATTCTTACAAATTGTATAAACACTTGAAAACGTAGAATAAATTTAAATTTTTTACCTTTGTATCAAGTTATCACACAATAGCATATATAAAATCCGTACTACAAATCCAGATAGCAATCACTCACTTACAATAAAAAGTACATTGAAACGGCTACTCTTGATGTGATTAAGAAACAAGATACGATGATTTTTTTTTTTCTCACAAATGGATAACATTCTATTTTTACACGAAAAACATATTAGATGTGTAAATTTTCTTTCCTGCTCTAAAATTATGTTGAATACATTAATCTATTAAAGAGGAGACTTCCGGTTTTCTACTTCCTGTATATTTTTTGGTCTCTGGGTCATTATCAAAAATACGCACCCTTTTTATATCTGTGTCAATTTGAAAATAAAACCATGTTTGTTGAAATAAACAGTACCATAGGGTTTTACAAAACGAGAACCTTTTCTTTGAATACATTCATTGATAATTTTGATAATAAGATATGAATGACTTCATGTTGTCAATGGATTCTATCAATTGACTTTAGCCTACAACAACTTAAAAATGATATTTTCTGATTCAGATATCTAACTTCTGGGAAAAAAAAAATAATAGAATGCGTCTTTTTAAAATGGTTCCAGCAATATCATTTTATTGTCTTTTCTCTCTTCAACTTTATTTTGCCGATTTTCAGCTGAAGGTTCAGATTCATTGTTCATTTTAAACTCATATTGAGTTTAATGTACGAATTAGAAGGGGTTGGATTTTTATTTTTGGAGAAAGCGGGATAACTCTGTTAATATTTTTCGACTTCTCTGACCGGAAGCAGTGAATCAACGAGTTATTCAATTTGCCATTGCCATATTGTCATCCTCTTCTTTCTTCTTCAGGTGATATTCTATTATTTACAGTTGATTACGTCTTTTATCTGTTTGCTCTGCTCCTATTGTGCATTGCTTAAACTTATGTTATAACGAACTGATGTTTATTTTAGGAGCATGTTGTTCGATATGAGAATGCGGGCTGTATGCATTAGTTTACAGGCTGCATAGTGAGCAGGTAATCAGTTACTTACATGTGGATATATATTATAGATGCATTTGTATTTACATGTATTTATTAGGAATATTTCTTTAGTTATAACGAGACAGAAAATATAGATTTAATTGATAGTATTAGTGGTTTAAAACTTGTTTTCATTTCTCTCTACATCTTTATTTAGCCTGTTTTCAGACAAGAGTTTAATGTACAAATTATAAGGGGTGGATTTTAATTATTAGGGAAAGCGGGATAACTCTGTTAATATTTTTTAATTACTACGTAATTTTGACCTTAATTATGCACCCGCATGCATCAAGCGCAATTGCTGTGTCTATTGTGCACATGCGAGTAAATGAAAAAAAATCTCGTCAGTAAATCATTGAGCATACGACTTTTTTTTCCCAACTTTGGGTATGTTTTCTTCATTTGAGCATTGAACTTTTTATGACCTTTTAATTCTTAAATGTTAGATATGTTTTTTTTAACCACACAGTGTATATATAAAATTCTCTATCTCAAGAATAGGTTTATCACAAGTATCCGATTTGATTAGGACGATTATAAAGGATGTTAATATATACAGGTTTGTTATAAAATTTCGTCAAATTAGAAATGGACAATGGTTTATTACCAATCATTAATATAAATCGTGTAAAATCGTGCTCCATAGATTGACATCAATTGCTAATGGAATCAACACTAAAACACAAACGTATATATCAATATAAAATTAAGGATTCTGAAGGAAGCTTTTAAATTTCAAACTGCTCAAAAAGAGCGCAAAATTTAATTTTTTCGTATGACGTTGTTCTGTCAAGGCCTTCAGCCTAAATGTCATCAAATTAAATTATATAATCTTTTGTTCTCCCATTCATTGATTTGACGTTTAAATGCAGCTTTTTCTGCAAACTTTATAAACACATTGCACCTGCTAATAAAAAAAAGTGTTTGTATATGAAAATAAATCTTAACAACACACGTGTACTTTGATTGTTATATATACTTCTCATGTCATATGAACTTTAGACGGTTATTAATTATAAAATTTCCTTTGTTATTTATATACTTCATAATATTATTGATAAAATAAAATATAAAACAAAACCTTTATTATGTAACAATACTAAATGCGATTTTCTTGTTTTTAGTAATGAATGTTACATGTACAACACTATCTTAAACATAATACACATAAGGACTTTTCAATAAATTCATTACACATTATAACATTATATATTTATTACATGGTATATATTGTAGAAACCACCATTATGTCTAAAAATAAAGTTTTAATCATCTATAATAAAAGTATATATAATTTTTCATATCATGCGTGAACAAGTATGGATATAAAAAGTCAGTTATGTTTAATCATCATGAGAGTTTCTTTTATCTGTTTACTATCAGTCACTGTAGGATCCCATGGTTTGTACCAGGACCCCGGGTACCAGGGACCGTTAAAGAAGGCTCGGTGACACCAGTTAAACCACCAGCCTCCTCTAATGTAACTGAGAGCAGCACAGTTAGTATTACTATACCCGTCGTTATCTCTGTCCGGGATACTGAAGGACATCCCAGACAGATCGTAGTAATCAGGAAAACCAGTGTCTAACATAAAGTCACCTGTAAAATCATCAAAAAAAAAATATAACATGAACAACTATTTCAGATTAGATCATTGTTATTTACTTAACATTTAAAGCTTAAAGCATCTATAGTATTCAACAATAAAATTTTTTTTTTGAATTACTTTAAATTGCATTGCTTTCAATTACAATGGATGAACACTGTTTAATATTAACGTTGTTTTCCTGTTGTCATTTGATTTCTTTTTTGACTGTATACAAACATGTTGATAAGTCTCAACAGAAATAAAAGATTGATTGATTGATTGAATGTATGTAGTTTAGCGTCCCTCTCGAGAAATTTCACTCATATGTTGACGCCATCACTTGCCGGTTGAGAACTAGAAATTTTGTTTTAAAATACATGTTATACACGGCAATTGAGGAGTTCGCTATGTTTTTCGTTCCAGCATCTACTACGACACTGGACCTTGATTTATACGATCTAATCCAAAGTACCAGTCTGCACGTCCTACAGTTGTCTTGTAACTCGCAAAGTAAAGATTCCTTACTTCGCGGCTCCAACCACAGCGCCACGCGGGTGATTTCAATAAATTTAATTATTATTTCATTCATGTGAAGCCTTTTTTAACATTGAAATGGGTAAGCCTATATACGTACATATAAAGAAGGGATATTCAAAATAATAATTTCATGAACCAATAAATTGATATAACATTAGAAAATAACGGTTTGATTTTTTCTTTTTTTTTTGGGGGGGGGGGGGGTACCTCTTTAAGTTAACAGTACAGGAAACAATAGCTTTTCTTCCATTTTATCAACACATTAATCATTAGAATTCTTCAAATTTGTGCGACTACACATAGATACAATTTGTGAAATTTACTTCTTTCTTTAGTGTTGTATTGCTTTTGTTAAGTCTACTATGCGTATCTTCAACACGAAAGCGTGATAATTAAAACAAGTCCCCGTTATCGAAGGTAATAATTGCATTTCCAATGCAAGTTTTTTTTTAATTCAATAATCGTTTAACACCTTAATTGATTTCTCTGTATTAGTTATGTATCTGACAACATTACGTACAAGTATGCATGTGGTGGTTATGACGGGGAAATGTTCAATCTTTTAGCAATTTATTACTGACTGGCTCTTATAGTATTGATTCTTGATTTCAAATATACAATGAAAAATTTACTTTCAAAATAGTGATATCCACACATCCCCCTCCATTTATTACGTAACTATAGGGCTGATTATCACAGAAAGAATTGGTATTTGTCTATCTGTCACAAGAAATTAAACTCTTTCTCCCTCTCTCTCCTTAATATAGGTCGTCATTCGTACATTCTTTTTTCCGTTTACCTACCCAGGGTCCCGGTAGCTGGTCCGCCAAGAAAAAGTCGGTAGTTGTTGGTTTTGTCAGCAACAGAGAACTGGTCGTATAATTCATAGAGTGTTGTCCCATTGGTCAGTGTGATGGTGACGTAGAGGGAGGTGTTACTTCTTTTTGTGAGTTGATGTATCACGTCATTCCCTTAAATATTTTATCGTCGTGTAATATATAAAGACTTAATAAAGCAAAACAATTTTTTTTATGCTGTCATATAATTCAACATATGATTGTGAAGGTATGCAGAAATTTGTAATTGTTTAGTGTATGCAGCAATGAATCTACATGTTTTGAAATCAAATTAGGGGAATCGTTAGAAATTGTATTTTACATAAATTGTGATAAACTTCATTTTAACTGAATAAAAAATAAAAATAATGCTAATTAAAACTGTTGATAATCAAAGAATTATCATCCCTTAAAACAACAAATTATTCAGTTATGGAATGGGTACAATTTTAATAGCAAATTAATGGTTCCCCGAGGGAGGGGAATATTTCTACATCTGGAACCTTAACCCTTGGGGAGCTTTAAATTTGCTTTGTACTCTCTAGTCATTCCATAACTGTTTATATGTTACCTATCCAGTAGGAGGTATTAGGGAAACCAAATCCATTCTTGTAGTCCGTCCAGGTTCTGTCGAATGACACCGAACCACTCACACGTTTCTGTATAGCCTAAGGATTTATGAAGTATAGGAGTTTTTTTTTTGATAGTTTATTTTTTTTATTTTCACACAAATTATACAAATACAAAACAGACGTATCTGTAAATAAATATAGAAGACAGTTTGAAATAAAGCAAAAAAAGAGGTAATAAAAACTTATGTAGAGAGAAAGAGAGGGAGAGGAAGAGAGAGAGAGAGAGAGAGAGAGAGAGAGAGAGAGCGAGAAAGTGAGAGAGAAAAAGATGTGAGGCACATACTTTCTTGAAAAAGTAACACTAAGAAATTTTTTTAAGTATTTCAACTATTCCCTGTTAATGTCTTTCAAATTCATAATTATCTTGAAACTTGCGTATTATATTATTCCCAACAACTATTTAACGTAGAAAAAAATCTTTGTTATCAAATTTTGTGAGATTATATCACAGGAACCTATGACACAGGAATTTTTATTCGTAATTCGTTATAATTATAAGAAAAAAAATTTATATTTGGAGATTTCATTACTTCCTGTAAAATAAACTAGAAGGAACTATATTATATATTCAATGTTTAATTAAGAGATAAAGGTTTGATATTAATGTTAAAAGAGAGATCTGTTAAAGAAGGGTTAAGCTTAATTGAAGGTTTGATATCAGAGAGAGAGAGAGAGAGAGAGAGAGAGAGAGAGAGAGAGAGAGAGAGAGAGAGAGAGAGAGAGAGAGAGAGAGAGAGAGATCTTACTGTCCACCCTCCACCTTCCGTCATCATGTCACAGAAGACGCTGACCTTGCTTACAATACCAAATGGATATATATCATAAACACCAGATTCTGCATAACCATTTATGTAGAGGTCCTTGCAATCTTTATATGTGTTTAACTCTGAAAGAAATAACCCATAAATACATGATATGATAATAATCGTATATATAAATATTAATATAAAAGAGAGAGAGAGAGAGAATGAGAGAGTTACCAGACTTGATGGTTTGCAGTATACTGCTCTTCAAATCTTCGTGGATGTTGGTTTCATTTTTCTTCAGCATGTTAAACATCTCGAAAAATTCTTCTTGAATGTTCTTTTGATTAACGGTGATTAACTATAATTCTCGCGTTTTCGCTTTTCAGGGAGTCAATCTTTTCGTTCAATATTTGCAAAGTCTTATCATTTCGGACGCAGTCATTTTTTTCGTCAATATAGATTTGCTGACAACTAGCCGCACAAAAGAACAAGACGTACACGAAGATAACCGCCCAAACTCCTGCCATGGTTTTTCTTGCGCGCTGTCTGAAAATAAGCTTCCCTGAAAAAATCTGTAGTTTATATACCCTTAAAACGGGAAGTTAAAAATTTCCCTAAATATTTCGCAACCGCAACACTTAGACGTTCAGCAGCGAATTTCATTCGACAGTCAAGAAAAAAATAAAATATTAAGGATGCTTGGGTCATAGGTCAAATTCAGAGTAATGCTGTACATGTGACGGATGACATTTAAAAAAACCTTTTCTCTGCATATACCAATTTCAAAAACTAAAAATGGGTATATTGTTTTTAAATAGTATATTTTCAATTGATAAATATAAATAAATAAGTCAATACTTACTGAGTCTTTTGTGTTTCTATATATTCACTTCTTTGATGTGTTGAGTGTACAATTATCACACAATTACCACACAATTACCACAATTACATAATTTTTAATACTTATTTAAGATTATTTAAAGTTCAAAGAATGTTTTAAAGGTTTATTTTCAATTTTTAAAAAGAATTCGAATATGAGTTAAACAATTATTCAAAAGGTACCAGTGCCACAGTTTAATAGAATGACCTCAAAATATAAAGTTCCTCTATAAGGAATGAAATGTATGGAGATAAAGAACAATATTCCAGCTCAAAGGTCCATTAAACATTATAAAAAGGAGCAGAGCATACAGGCATCCAAAGCATCAGAGTGGAATCAGGTGCCATGGAGGTGTGAGCATCCCCTGATGACTGAACACACCCACCGTGTAATTCTTGACAATCGACAATCTTATCAGAAGTATCTTACCTGTTCAGCCACAAAACCAGTCTCTTTTTCCTTAATATTTTTTTGAAACTGCAATTTTATTGAGCTGATCTTCCTAGAACTGACAGTGACAAAACCATTGTTAAAAAAGTTAAAGAATGACACTTTTTATGCTCGTAGCAGAGGAAAATGTACATATTATTTAACATACCCCGTCCTTTTTAGGAACAAATTTATCTTTTATGCGCTTAAATTAATTTTCATTGGGTATTGTATCCGAATAATTAGTCTCATTAATTTTTATTTATTTTGGAGTTTTAAATTCTCCAAACTATATTTGAATTGGCATTCGTCATGTGTAGTTTTGAAAGGGACAGATACATGTTTATATAAATATTTTCAAAGGTACGTATTTTAATTCACATTTTTAAAAAAGCATATTGTACTGTGTTTGATAACACTATCGAAGTTTTGATTTTAATAAAAGCATAATAAGCCAAACGTAACTGCATTTCTTATTTTTAAAACAAATAGAAAGTGGAGAAAAGAAACGTAACAAGAAAAGTGTTGGTTTTTCTTTATATTAAATATTAAGTTTTATGCATTTAGTCTTTAAAAAACTATTTTCTTGAATTTCTTATTGTTTGTTTGTTGATTGTTCTTCAATTTGTAATTATTATAAATAAGAAGCATTAAGTGAATAAATATCTACTTAATGTTGCTTCAAGGAATAAGGAAGAAATTACAAAACGGAAAAAACAACTTCATAAATAGAAAAAAATAAACTACATCTTAAAAGATTGGTTACATCAAAACAGGGGCTAAAGATGCACAGGAAAAAAACTTAAGATAAATTTTGAAAATTAAAGATATATATTAAAACGGAAGAAAAAAATTGCAAAAAAAAAAAAATCAGCGAGATCTGCAATATCGTTCGTCAGTCCCATCGTAGAAAGGCACAAAAATTGATAAACATTAAAACAGTGGGTTGTAAACTGAGATAGGATAGAATTGAGGTCACATCTAAGAAGAGAACCCGGATGAATGAAAATGTGAACAGTAGTTTCTGTACTGAGAGAAAAAGAATTTCAATGTCATCGGGATTGGCATTTTCTAAACGTTTACTATTGATAATAACTAAATTTAATGTAATTTTTGTTAATTTTTTAGCACCATTAGGCATTCTTTTTTCTTTTGAATTTTAATGATTCTTTCTTTTTTCAATTTGCTTGCATTTTTTAAACAGCTTAAATATATTGATAATTGTGATAGTTCATATAAAATTATTATTATGTACACAGGGATCTTATCTTATCTTATCTTATTCCATTTTTGTGATAATAAATGACAATTTATTATAAAATGAAAAAAAGTGAAAATAGTCGGTGATAATTTTGCTATTAACATCATTTTATACAATGGATAAGCAATAAATCATTACTATTTAGATTAATTTTTTTCTTAATTAAGGAGAATTGACATAGATATGTAATTCTGAATTAAGGATTTCCGATATCGAGATATTATTCTAAATTATTGATACTTGGTATAGAGGTTTAATTTTGATATGAAGAGACTCGGTGTAGATATGTGATTCCCAATTAAGATAACTGGCTGTAGAGATGTAATTCAGAACTAAGGAGACTCGGTAAAGATATGTGATTCTTAGCTATGAGAACGCGGTGTGTGGATATATAGGATGGTTTTTAACAATAATATTAAGTTCCATCAATAAAGATTAAATCATTCTGACTTGGTTTTCTTTAATAAGAATATTTGATATACAATAAATATATAAATAGAACCATTTATTTTAAAAAACGAACGTTTTTGACAACCCTGTTACATGTCACATATATTTTGTATTTAAATTGTGTTGACTTCTGTGGCATTCGAAATATCTGAACTCGGAAAGGGGGTCAAAAGGGTAAAATTCTTTCTCTCTCTCTCTCTCTCTCTCTCTCTCTCTCTCTCTCTCTCTCTCCTCTCTCTCCCTCTCTCTCTCTCTCTCTCTCTCTCTCTCTCTCTCTCTCTCTCTTTCTCTGTAGCCTCCTCCTCCTCTCTCTCTATTTCATCTCCCTCTTTCTCTCACTCTCCAAGAAGTCTGTTTTTGTTCGTTTCATCAGCAACAGAAAACTCTTTGTTATTGTTCATTCCTTCATTAAGCACATCAATGATGTTTTTATAAAAAAGAATTTATATTAAAACGACCTTTAATATCTTTAGTTCTGATATGCTATTTAAGAAACAGGCGTTTAACCCCCACCCCCACCCCCAAAAAATAACAAAATAAAAATGATGAGATATAAGCGTATACAAAATTATTCTGTTACTTGTGTTAACAAAGTATACTTTTTTTAATTATATTAAAAAAATATGTTGTACGAAAGTTGGAATTCCCAAAATAATAGTGATATAACATCCTGGTTCAAAATGATGAATGTTTCATAGAAGACGTTATTGTGAGACGGAAAAACTAGAAAGAAAACAAAACAAAAATTAGGAGAATAATGTGTTGTTTTTTGTCATTTTATATTTGATTTTATGCATTTAACCCCAAGTATATTTCTCTTATTTTTTTGATACGTTATGACTTAACTTTGATTTTTAATTATTATGAATAAGTACCAGTAAGTAAATTAATATTAAAAAGTTATTGTTTTTTAAGAATAAGGAAGAATCTCCAAAGCGGAAAAAAACAACTACATAAATAGGGGAAAAAACTACATCTTAAAGGATTGGTTACTTCAAAATAGGGTTAAAGATGTACAGGAAAAGCGTATGATGATTGAAATTAAACGGAAGAGAAAATTAATGAATACAAAAAACCCGACTTTTCTTTCATTTTCTAGGTCAGTTGTATCGTAGACGAAAAAAAAGGATATATAAAAATGAAAACAGTCGATAGTAAACTGAGATAAGGAAAACAGAATTTAACTGTTATCGAGACTGACATATTTTAAAAGTTTACTGTCGATTATTCCTAATTCTAACACATTTTTTATTACATTTATAAAGACACTATGCATCATTTGTTCATTGAATTATTATTTTCATATTATATTAGCTTCTATTTTTGAGATGACTTAACCTTGACCTTTCACATAAAATGATTCATATGTCCACCGAATACAAGCAAAAAAATAAAAATGATGAGATATATGTGCGTATGAAACAATCTGTCATTGGTGCAACAAAGCAAAATATTATAAAGTACATCATTTAAATGACGTACTTAAGTTAGATTTCCTAAGATTAAACTGACAGCAATTCCAGATTCCAAATAATAACCGCATCAGTAAGGGATTAGGAGAAAAAATATCACAGAAAGGGTTAGTATGCTCAGAGTAATTCAAACAATATGCGTCGATCGGGTAACAACTATTTAAGGTTTTCTATTATGAAAGGAAAAAAAATAACAAAATGATAATCACGTTTAACATTGGCTATGTAAAATTGTGCACATTCTGTTAGAGTCACATCATGCATATACAATGATTTTCATTAAAGTAATTTTTAATCTGAGTAAAAAGCCTCTGTATGTCCATATTGATAATAATTTCTCAGATGCCCAGTTCTGTACTTAGGCGAAAGAGGCTCGAATATTTCTTTTTGTTCAAATTCAAATGAAAATCAAGAACATATACTAACTGCATGAGAAAGATACATAAACAAAACAAATAATTCTTTTTCCGGGAAAAATTAGTTGCGATTTTGTTATTATTTTAAATTTTCAATGCATATCTTGCCTATGTAGGTAGGGACAGACCCAATCACTAGGCAGGATGTGTATTGATGAGGAATATAAATTATTATTAATTTTTCCCCTTCTTCTTCAATTTTGTTTAGCTATATCTGTGTGAATTTTTAAATGTTATAAATTTCAAAATTATTTATTAACTTATTTCTATTTTTTTATTATTATTAAAAGTACAATTATTTATTTTTAATCTGAATAAAATAAATAAATTAAAGTTATATGACAGTGATATAAATTAAGTACTACGTTAATTTATATCTGATGATGTCATTGTGACTTCAGTAGCATTGTGACGTCATTATTATTCACAAGACGAAAGACCAC